TTAATATAATCCGAATCATTTTATAAATTTATATTTAATAAATTTTAAATGATTACAGAGGTATTATATATATATACAATTTTTTATTTTATATAAATATTTTATATATGTGAATTTTAGTTGAAATTTTTAAATATTTTAAAGAGTTTTTCTTACATAAAAAGAATATAAAATAAAATATTATATTATACCTTCCTATAAATGTGTAGATGTATAATTTGGTTCCTTTTTACATGTAATCATCTTCTTTAGAAATGAAAGGACATTCTTGTAATTTATAATGATTTAAAAATAAATAACATATATAAATACACTATTCATCGAAGTAAAAAAAAACAACAGAAGAAGAAGAAATAAATAAATATATTTTTAAAGAGTAGAAGTGATATATTGGGTTTGCTAATTATAATTAATATACTTTTAATGTAAATGAGTAATGGTTACAATTAAATAGCGGGTAATGTTTTAATTGTGGAAACATATTTGACTACATAAATACACTATTTTTCAAAGTATAAAAAAAACAACAGAAGAAGAAGAAATAAATAAATATACTTTAAAAGATTAGATGAGATATATTGAGTTTGTTAATTATAATTAATATACTTTTAATGTAAATAAGTAATGATTACAATTAAATAGCGAGTAATGTTTGAATCGTGGAACTTTCTACGTACCTATTTATACAAAGACAATATATATTTGACTACATATTGTTATACCCCATGTTAACCGGGTCAAAATAGTGTACAACATTTTGGAGATTTCTAAAGTTATTGACTAATTTAAGAAGTCGCCACCTAATTATTACGGTGAATTAGGACACCTATATTGATTAAAGTTATGTTCTAAAGTTAACTTCATTTTAAGGTCTACTAAACTTAAAATTCTAGGTAAGGGTTCAACTAATCTAAAGGGAAGGGGTTAGGCACCCTTTAAGATCCATTAAAAAATGGTTGACCGCTCGAACTTAGTTAATTAATTAAGCTAAGTGTTAAAATAAAATATAGATTTTTGAAATACGAGAGTAGTAATATAAATATGTAAGTTTCTTAAATTTGAAATTTGAAAGGTGATCTCATGAGTTGAGAACACTCTTTTTATTAGCCAAAAATACCCAAAGTAAAAGATAGCGTAGAAAACAACTTTTATCCAAAAATGATTATGATCTTTTAATAAAATATATTTTGGAACTAATCAAATGTAGTAAGATATTTAAAATATACCCGTCCATCTGTGGAAAATGTTTGAATTTACAAACAAAGTTAAAACAAACATCTTTGATTAGTTTACACTTATGAGTGGTTAAAAATATCGTAGGTAACTAAAAAACATTTCTTTTCTTTTTACTATTAAGCCAGACTCTAGGGAATAAGTTAATTTTATTCATATTTTTAAACTAAGTGACTCATCAATAAAGTATTCAAATAGAGATCAAATATGTCTAGATTGTAAAATAAAGCATCACAGCAAACAAAATAATTAAGCTAGCATAAAGGTAAATAATAGGCTAGACAACTAATTTTGTACAGATAGGTCTCTGGAAATAGGAAAAGCGAGTAAATGTTTTATCAAAATACGAGTGGTCAATCCCATGTTCGGTTTATGCAAGCTCCGTATGACAATGGTGTCGTTGAGTCTCACGGTGAGACTCTTCAACTCCGGTATGTACATGTAAACAAAGATAAGAAAAGAAATAAAAATTAGCAAGCATGTAATGGCGAAGTATCAAAATGAACAATGAAATTTCTAGCAAATAACAATAAGCAAACTAAAAAGAAAACAGTCATATGGGAGAAGCACAACAAGGATTATAACCATATAACAAATTAAGAGCATCAACTTCATCTCCCTAATACGACAATTTATGGTCTACTTAAATATACATAATCTCATAACCATGATCCTAGGATGGTATTAAAGAGAGTTTGCATTTAGAGTAATAGGGACAAATGACAACATTATTTACACAAGACTACTAATTAATTCATTTAGTTAAAGATGGTTAAAAATAGTTCTTTTATATAGTGTATCTATCATATAACGAAATCTTAATCATGATTTCCAGAAGAACTGAGTCGGGGATTTAAATGGTCAAACTAGTAGATTCAAAAATTGATCCTAAGTTCATGCTTTTCTACAATACAAAATAAATAGAGTTATCTATGCAAAGTTTAAAAATATGATAAGAAAGTTAAAGTCAGAGTCATGTACATAATCATTTATTTGAAGCTACATACATGGAATATGAACCACAAGCATCAAAACATATATATCATTTGTCATTTTTTCATATAGAAACTAATACCGAACACGCTGGCCAGCTGGATGAAAGAGTAAAATATACAAAGTAAAGCGGTCGAGATTACTGATTGTGGGGCAGTGAACTGAGGGCGTTGTCGATCTAGAATCCCGAACTCGCTATTTCAAAACGAGCAAGGATGAACAACCTTTGCTAAAAATAAAACACGTATGAAAGTATTTCAAAGCTAGGCAACTAATACTTTTTGTGGGTGTTCTTGCAAGTATTCTGGCCTTTGAGAAAGGTGAAAATTTTCCAATGTTCAAAGGTGCTTTTGGCTGAGAGTTTGAGATGTTTTTATAGGCCAAAATTCAGATTAAGATATGTTTGAGCCGGAGTTTGAACATGACTGTTTGAATTCAAAATGACCGTTCACAATAATCCAAAATAAAGCCAAAGAGATGCTAAAATATCGTTGTATTCCAGGTCTACATATTTCATGATAGGCCAAGGATTTGAAATCTTTTGAGTGCTTAAAGAGAAAAATTTGCCTTGATAGAGAAAGATGTTGAAAAAAAATACAAAGAGTGAGAAGAGTTTCACCAAAATAGAGAAACCAAAATATGTCCATGTTGAAAGCTAAATGGAGCTTTGCACATAAATGGAAAAGGAGAAAGCGACGTTTTGGAGAGAAGTGTGGCTGATGAGTTTAGAATAATATTAGGGTTGAAGATTTTCTGATATATTTTAAATGGGCTAAGCGAATTTGGGCCTATTTTGGACAGATTTGACATAAAAAAAAAAGGGGCTGAATATTTGGTCCGATTGGAATTCGATTAGGCCCAATTTTATGGTCCTTTTCTTTCTTATATTAATTCTTTTAAGCTTCTAACTAGTATAAATACATTATATAAATTTTTTAGTAAGGACGAAACTTGAAATAAAGTAACGACAATCTATTGTAAAGAAGACGACAATAAAGTAATAATAGTAATGTCGAAAATAAAATATATAATTTTAAAATATGAAAATGATAATACAAAGATGATAATCATAAAAAATAATAAAAGTTAAAGTAATATAGATAATTACGATAGCAGTGGAGATAAATGGAAAATAATAGCGAATTATAAAGTATTCGACTTATTAGCAACTTAGAAGCTCAACGAAATAAATTAGAAGAAAGGAGGGACAAAATTTGGTGTCAACATCTTGCCCCTCTTTGACCGGAGACGATGAAATAGTTTTCGGGCAAAGAAGTTGACTAAGTGACCAATTTTGTCTCGACCAACAAATATTGGCACGGGAAGAGTTTGAGAGGAGTGGTACTAACGTAATTTAGTCAAGAGGGGTCACAGAATGAGTTAATTGAGCTGAGATGTAGAGGTGGTTATGAAAGAAGAATTGGATAACCTACATTTCACGTATTCGTGGTATGTAAGTAGAAATGAGTTCGAGAGTAGATCCTTGACCTTTGCTAGCGAGTTTGATATTCCTCTTCAGCAAATTTGCCCCAGTTCACTGCTAAGAAAAAGTTCCACGTTGTGCTGCATCTCTTTTTATGTCGTCCGCACCTGTGGTTTGATTTGAGAATTCATCCTCTCGGATGCTCTCGGCAAAGACGGAAATAAACGTGTTAGTAGAAACTGTAATTTATATAGAGAAGTGACATGTTTTACCGTATTCAACACATGTTTTTATTTTATGTTGACCTTTGTTGGAAAGTTAAACTTTCTATACAAATTGCCCCAGTTCACTGCTAAGAGAGAGCTCAACATTGTGATGCGTCTGTAGTTGTTTTTGACTGTTTTTCCTAAAACTCATGTTAAAACTGTCATTGAAGTCGAGAGATAAAATTAAAGTGTAAGAATGTATAAATGAATGGTAATATATGTATATGTGAGAATGGGGTGAAGTCGTGTGACTTATGAAAGGCGTGTGGCCAAATGTTGTCTCTAGTTGTCTTTAGAGACTTGGTAAATAAAGATGTCTCTGATTGTCTACAGAGACTTGATGTTGAGAGCCGTATGGCTTATGATGATAAGGTCGTATGGCCAATTGGTATCTCCGTTTGTCTTCGAAGCATAATGGCATATGACGTCTCTGGTTGTTTTCAGAGACTTAATGATGATGATGTCTATAAAGTTTAAGGTAAAACCATTAAATTAGGTAAAGTAGATTAAAGTAATTGGTAAAGTAGTGAATAAAGTAAGAGTGTAGCCGTCTGGCTTATGCAAATGATGTAGTTAATGTCTCTGGTTGTCTTCAGAGACTTGAATGATAAATAAGGCCACCGGTTGTCTTCGGGGACTTAAATGAGGCCTCCGGTTGTCTTCGGGGTCCCAATGATAAATGATGTCTAATATCCTCCGATTGTCTACGGGGACTAGAATGATAAATAAGGCCTTCAGTTGTCTTCGGGGTCTCGATGATAAATGATGTCATATCCTATTTTAGGGTGGATGAACTCATGTCCTATTTTAGGGTGGACGAACCCAAATGTCCTCCGATTGTCTATGGGGACTAATTGTAATGATGCCCCCGATTGTTTTTCGGGGCTTGATGGAGTGACGCCTCTGATTGTTTTCGGGGATTGATGAAGTAATGCCTCCGGTTGTCTTCGGGGCTAGATGTTGATTGTTGTAAAAATGTAGAGCAAAATTATAAATAAAGTCATGATAAAGTAAAATAAGACAAAGGTAGGTGAGAAATAAAGTCGTGTGAGATATGATGGTGGAGCCGTGGGGTAAAGTGATGTCTTTAATTGTCTTTGAAGGCCTTTGCTGATTTGTAATTAGTTGAAAGTCGCCTCTGATCTTCGATATTTAAGCCTTGATGTACAATTTGGTGGATTGAGTGGCCCTTGTAATGAACTTGATTCTTATTCAATAAATCAAGGGAATTTTACCTGCAAATTTTGGGTAAATATGTTAGTAAGAATATAAAGTCATGATGAATTAAAAGAAATAAAGTAAAATTAAAGATGTGGTCATTTGACTTATTCAGGCGAGGTCCTGGAGGCAAACGATGATTTTAATGTAATCCAATAGTGACTTCTTGTATCTTTGTTGTTCCTGCACTCAAAGAAAAATTCTTAGTTGGAAGGGGGTGTTGATTCGCGTTGAATCGAAGCTTGACTTTGTTGGCCTTCCGTCCATCATGTTTGTTCAGAACTTATGATCTCCGTTTGAGACTTGGTAGATGAACAATAAAAATATCTTATAAAATAAAAATTATCATTTGAAAGAGATATTTGTTAGTGTAGAAGAAATGTAAGTCTATGTTTATAAGTTGTGAAAAATAATTTCTACCAACTCTTAGATTGTGACAATTTTGAAACAAAATGAACGTCCTTTGTCTGTTATACTTCTTGTCAGGCAGCAGCCTATAGCTTGACAATATCCGGTCATTCCTTGACCATATTTACCAAAATCTGCCCCAGTGTCGATTTTGAAGAAGCATACTAAATTTATGTTGTGATGAGACCGAACCTTATATAGGTTGCCTAAGTATCTCGCCAAGAGAATCAGGTCAGAACGTAGTTCAAGTACATAGAAATGATTTGGAATTTTCTAATAAAGGGACCGAATCCGATTTGGATTACCTACATATTCCACCAAGGAAATCAGGCCATGTGTAGTTCAAAATTACATAAATAGTAAAAGAATTTTTAATTTTTAGCCTAATGTGACTGAACCGTATGTGGGTGGCCTACGTATCCCATCGAGGGAATCAAGTCAGGCGTAGTTCTTCTATTACAAATAAGGAAATTTAGAAATGTTCTATTGTAAAACCGAACCCTATATGGGCTGCCTACGTATCCTACCAAAGGAATCAGGTCGGAACGTAGTTCGTGAATTACATGAAAAGTAGAAGTTACATTCAAAATCTATCTAAAGTCACCCTTTGTTGTAGCATATTGACTTCTCTTGAATGGAAAACTTCATGCTCGAATATTCTCATGTTGTCATGTTTCTTGATCGATTGTTCAATTGTAGGTTATCTTCCCATCCTCCAAAAATGTTGCTTGGCTTTCGAACTTTGTTCATTTGTTTCATTATGTCACAATCATAAAGTTGGCAGATTTGAAAATTCATAAAGATGTATATCTAAAAGTAATAAGTAAGAGACAATTAAGAAAATAGGAAATGCATTCATAGATTTTGCAATTAAGACTTTCAAAAAAATGAGGCAAAACAACATAAAGTTTTAAGGCATGATTTAAGCCTCGACTTTTAAAACCGTGCTACTTCAAAAGTGTTACTACTTGTTCAATCTACCAAGACTCCCGGTGAACGAGAAACGGAGTACAAGTCCAATTTTTCAAAGTCTCCTCTGGTTCAGCACCCCAAATGGTCGGTGTCTCGGTGTCGTAGAGAGGCATGTAAGATGTTGTAGTAGTAACCTCTATTGCTTCTTGTCCTTGGGTTATTAAGATAGGAGCACTAAAGGCAGACAAAGTATCATTTTCCACCTTTCCAATGGGCACAATATTTCCGTTCAACACCACATTTTCCTCTATAGTTATCATGTTCACGTCAGCATTTCCATGTTTAGGCAAATGGTTGTTGTTCACATTGGGTTGAGGTCCAGTAAGTTGGATTGCTCCTTCTTTAATCAAGGCTTCAATCTTGTTTTTGAGACCATAACAATCTTCAGTGTCGTGTCCAACAAATCCAGAATGATAGGTACAACACTTGGAACCATCAAACCATTTTGGAATGGGATCAGGAATTTTCCCTTCAATCGGTTGTATCATACCTGTTGTTTTCAACCTCTCGAACAACTGAGCCAATGGTTCGGCTATTTTTGTGTAGTTGCGAGTGGTTTTGAATTCATGATTTGGACGAGCTCTAGGTGCGGCGTATGGTCGATTTTGAAAAGTTGAAGCTTGGAGTGGTTGGTATGAATGTGGTTTATTATAAGTAGGAGCTCGAAGTTGATAGTAGTTCGCTTGGGTGTTGTAGACATGGTAAGGAGTTGATGGAGGATGGTAGAGACTCGGTGAGGCTTCACCAAATTGGTAAGGGTAAATGGGTTGATGTGGTTGAGTTAGGTAAGGATTAACTTGACTTGGCCTACACCCTTGGTCAATCATGACAACAGATACATCTTCTTTCTTCTTTTTGTTCCCATTGATAGAACCATATTGAATCGCTTTGCTTGCAGCTTGCAAGGCTGTAAAGTCTTGGATTCTTCTTGATTTGATTCCTTCTTCCAAGATTTCTCCTATTCTAATGATTTCTGTGAACTTTTGTCCCATCATGGTTATCATTTTCTCATAGTAAAAATTGTTATCTTGGGATTCAATGAAGGTAGCAGTCATTTCACTTTCACCCATCGGTGGTTGGAGTCTAGCTGCTTCTGACCTCCAACGTAGAGCATACTCACGAAATGTCTCTGTAGACTTCTTCTTTAACTTAGTGAGGTAGAACCTATCTGGTATGATGTCGGTATTGAACTTGAATCGATCCATAAAGTCTTGTGCCATATCACTCCAACCACACCATTTATGGAGATCTTGTTGTGTGTACCAAGCAAGAGCTTCACCAGATAAACTTCTTATGAACAACTTCATTCTGACCCTCTCGTCTCTCCCCACTCCTACCAGTTTGTCACAATACGCCCTTAGATGTGTATGAGGGTCACCAATTCCATTGAAAGTATCAAACTTTGGCAGTTTGTACCCTATAGCCAAATCAATGTCAGGTTGCACACAGAGATCCTCATATTCTAGGCTTTTGTTTCCCT